AGTTTTTAGCAGTTTTGGGACGGTTTGGTTGCTTTTGGTTAAATGACACCCCCACCTGGAGCTGGATTTGCAGAGAAATCCAAGCGCGGTGAGGTAACTGCTAGGGTTTCTTTACTCTTCATTGCGCTCTGTAATTTCCTGTTTGCTTCAAACACTGGGGGGTGAAGGGGGGGGGTGGTGGATCAAACATTTATAACAATTCTGTCTGTTCCTGTAGCAGGAGAAAACAAAGAAACTGGGGTCACTGGTTAACTGTTGGCCACCAGCCTGGCTAACCTGCTTGCCCAGCAATCCTGGCAAACACAACCTGGTGCTCCGTCACTGACCGGCTGCCATCCGCCAGCCCCGCTCCATGGCCTCTGAAAACACCTCTTTCTTAGGTACCTTTCCCCAGCTTTTGCCAGCTTTCTCCATAAATAGGAGAGGGCAGGGATAGCGTCTGAAAATACATGTATCTACACGCACGTGTGTGATCGACAAGAGGGTTTCCTGGCCTTGGGGAGATGGGGCTCCCCGAGAACACAGGCAGGACTCTGAGTGTCAGGGAGAAACCTGGCGGGGGTGACCCCTGCATGAGTGATGCTCGTGTGGTCCCAGCGAGTCCTGGTCCAGCCCAGGAGGGCTCTCGGGGCAGCTCTGGGTTCATCCAGCTGCCTGTGAGAGCCTCAGAGTCCCCCAAACCACCGGGGACCAGCACACAGTGAGACTCCAGGTGTGCAAACAGCCCAGAAGGCAGCCTCCCCCCAGCCAGTCAGGAGCCAAAGCCAAGCTTTACCTGACTCTGTGACTTCAACAAGCGTGGGGTTAGCTGAGTGGCAAAGCTTTGCATGGGCAAAGATCACCCTCCATCATGGAGAGAAAGGGATAGCGCAAATACCTGTCTGCAGAGTCCAGTCTCCACCAGCGTCCCCTGGCAAGGAGATGGGCCACCCTGGCCTCTCCAAGGCCTTCTTCACAGGTTGCCCTCAGGCTCGGGTCAACCTGTGGTCTGATGTAGACCAGACCAGACCTCAGCACCCTCCCTCTCCAACTAACCCGCCAGAGGTTTCATTTACCTTTGAGGTGGCCTGGCTGCGCGGCGCTAGATGCCAGGAGAAGGCAAGGTGAGAGGAACCCAGGTGGCTTCTTCAGAGATCTTTGCTTTCCCCACGGCTGCGAGGAACAGCTCAGGCTGCAGGGAAGATCACGACTCTAGGACCTGAGGTACCGGTGAAATGAAAGCCCCCGCTATGTCGGCATCCATCCTGGCTGTTCCACAAGAGTCCCCGGGAGCAGGAGCCTGGCCATGCCGTTCTCCAGGGCAGGGAGTCCCACAGCTGCGTTTGCTCCTCCAGGCAAAAGCAAGAGAAATCTGAACCACAAAGTGGGGGTGTGGATCACCCCACCCAGCTCCTGCTGACCTCGAGATCCCACTGATCTCCTCTGTCCTCAGCCTGTCCACCCTGCAGCTTGTTCCCCCACGCAGCCGGGGTGCGGGGAGAGCCTCCCGGCCAGCCCCAGTGGCCTGGCGGGTGGCACAGCCACCGAAGAAGGGTCCCCAGCTCTGCGGGGACGCTCAGCGCCGGCAGCCGGCAAGGAGACCCTGGCGAGCGGAGGGGCTGGCTCGACACGCGCCGGAGGGGCGCAGCGCGAAGCACAAAGGCTCTCCCATCCTGGCCGCTTTGCCCTGGAACGCAGCATGGGAACCGCTGCCCAGCACAAATCTGTTCCTCATTATCCGTCCTGGCTGCCGACGACGGATCCCAGCTCCCGTCACCAGCCATTCCCCGTTGTGGCCCTGGCTGTCTCGCATCCCGTCGGCCAGCCGAGTGACTTCTGCACGACTGCACCAGCCGGCCCAGCGGGGCAGAGCGGGGCCAGGGCTGGCACCCACCCCTCCAGAGGTGATGCCGGAGGGAAAAGGTATCGTTCCCTCCACCAACAGGCAGAGGAGGCGTGCAGGGAGATCAGGGAGAAGGCATGGCTGCTTCATGTGCGGAGAACGGGAAGGCAAATGCAGGAGAATTCCAGAGAGGTGTTCAGTCTGATCGTGTCCAGGTGAGACGGATCCCTGGACACACAGGCGGGAGCAGGAAAGACCAGAGATGGACTAATGTGTCTCCAAAATGTGTGTACCCTGACACAATTGGTCTAAATCCCTCAATTCCTCCTGCATTTGCTTTCCTGCTGTTCTCCGTGAAAATGTGGCCAAAGCGTCTGCCACGCTTCGTGCTTGCTGGGGCCAAGGGGGAGGTGGGAAGCTGGGCTCCCATTCACTAGCTTCCCGCTGCTCGTGCCCGTACGGGCCATCGTGAAAACATCACATGAGGGCGTCAGAAGTGCTCCAGGAATAGAGCAGAATGAAAAATCACATAAGGTTGCCTGTGAGTCAAGAGCACCCTTGCTGCAGTGGAGAACGTGAAGCTGGCAGCCTCAAGGAAATGATTATTACAGAATCACAGAATCTCATGGGGTTGGAAGGGACCTCTGGAGATCATCTCCTCCAACCCCCTGCCAGAGCAGGGCCACCCAGAGCAGGTCCCACAGGAACGTGTCCAGGTGGTTTTTGAATGTCTCCAGAGAAGGAGACTCCACCACCTCCCTGGGCAGCCTCTGCCAGGGCTCTGCCACCCTCACAGCAAAGAAGTTCCTCCTCATGTTTAGGTGAAACTTCTTATACTCAAGTTTGTGCCCATTTCCTCTTGTCCTGTCCCTGGGCACCACTGAAAAAAGACCAGCCCCATCCTCCTGACACCCTCCCTTTGAGTATTTCTAGGCATTGATTAGATCCAATCTCAGCCTTCTCTTCTCCAGACTAAAAAGACCCAAGTCCCTCAAGTATTCCTCTTGATTTGGTACCTGTGAGACCCAATTGGGTACTGGTTCCAGTTTGGGGGTCCCCAGAACAAGATACAGATATATATATATATCAGAGAGAACCAGCTTTAGGAAGGCAAGGCAAAGAGGGAAGCTACCTACAGGGGGGCACAGAGAAACCAGAGCCCAACTCTTCTCAGAGGCACACCTTGGAAGGACAAGAGGCAACGGGGACAAGCTGCATCAGAGGAAATTCTTGCTGAGCATAAGGAGAAAATCATTCCATGGTGTGGCTCTGTCACAGGTTGACATCTCCATCCTTGGGGACTTTCCAAGCCCAACTAGACAAGGCTCTGAGCGACCTGCTGTAGCTTTGCCACCTGCCTTGCACAGAGCCAGGTTTGGACCACCGACCTCCCGAGCCCCTTCCAGCTTAAAAGTTACCTGGTGCTTCAACGTGGGCCGTGCAGTGGCGAGGATTTTAAGACGACTGGGCAATGCTGCTGCTCAGCTGACTCGGGAGGTGGCCAACACCAATCCACCGCCCGCAGCTTGGTTCTTCTACCCAGCTGCTGCCCCTGCCACCAGAGCTGCTGACTTCACGAGTTCTGCGGAGAAACTGGAGGAGCTGAGCATTGGGAGAAAGCAAAAATCGCGGTGGAAAAAACGGTGCAGAGCTGATGGCAGGCTCTAAGGAGAAGCCTGTGTGCAAACTGATGGGTCAGGCAGCTCCAGGATGGGGTTGCTTACAATAACAGTCAGAGGGTTGTACGTTCTGGGTTACAGCCTGACAGGCAGCTCCTCGGGCTGTGCCTCACTCCGTGCTGGAGAAGCAGAGGTTTGGGCACATGTGCTCGTGGTTTGGCCCAGTTCTTGTGTTTTTCCACTGAAGCACTGTGGTATTTTTAGGCTGAAGGAGACGGCTCTGTGCTGTGCTGGAAGGATGAGAGCGGTCCTGTGCAGGAGGGATGCTGCCTGCTGTCGCTCCCTGTAAAGTGGAAATACAGAAAGTAGGGTACGAGAATAAAAACTGAGAAAACCCTGCAGGGAAGGGCGTAGTAGGAGCCACCATCCCTGGTCACAACGTGGCTGGGGTCAAGGGTGGGAAGAGGTGGCTCCAAGCTGGTGGCACAGAGAGCCTGCACACACATGAGCTGCGAGGCTCAGATAACCCTGTGAGACGGCAGCAACCAGCCCCAGTGTTTCCCGAAGCCGAGATGTCTACTTTTCCTCCTCTGAGGACCTGAATTCCACTTCTAGGGGAACAGTCTGCCCCACACAGCTTGGTGCCCTTGCCAAGGCCATCGTGTCTGCAAGACAACGCTGGCGCTGAGGTCCGGCACGCGGGAGCTCATCCCTGGGTGGTGGGATGCAAGGCAGATGGGAAACATCAGGAAGAGCCAGAGCTTCCCGAGGGACCAGTGGAATGCTCTCGGGGCTGGGAAGCTGGATGGGGACCCTGCCAAAAAGGACCTAGGGGTGACGGTAGATGCCAGGCTGAATCTAAGCCAAACATCCACTTCCGAATCAAGTAAACCTCTCCTTTAGGAGAAGTGGAGCCAGCAGATCGAGGGAAGAGCAAAGCCAGCAAACACACCAACACAGGGAGGTTCCTGTGATCCGGAATACCCTGAAACAGACCCATTTCAACCATATTTTTGGCAAAGAGAGAGGAAGTGTGGACAAGGGAAGATCTGGGCTCCCAGCAAGGGCTCTGCTGGCCTCTTGCTGGCTGCTCCCCGAGGCAGGGCCTGATGACGGCTGCAAGCAAGCTTTTCTTTGGAAAGAATTTCACATTTTCCGCAAACATTATCAAAACCAGGAAATCCAGTTAGGCACATGGAGTCTGAGAGCAGGGCTGTGCCCTTGGGAGGAGAAGAGCACAGAGGCACAGGGACAACCGAACCAGGAGCTGCAGGAACCAGGAGATGACAAGGTTCCCGAGGCAGCAGAGAGACCAGAACACGATGCCGGCTCCAACTCCAGTTTATTGAACGTTACAAAATACTCTGCATATATTGTCACATTAAAACGATATTCTTGCAAATAAGATATTAAGTCTTGAGTCATTTGTGGTGCCCATGGCTACAGAAAACACTGACCCAGCTAGAGATTTAGTATGGCCCCGTATCAGAAATCAAAACCAGAATAAGGCATACCCGAAATGCAAAACTATATAAAAACCTTTTTAAAAACCTCATGCTCATCTGATGGAACAGGTTGAGAGCAGAACGGCCTTTGCTGAGCCGTGCTGACAGTACCAGGGGGTACCACCAGCTCACCCCACATTGGGCTCACTCACCCGGTGCATCCAAGTATCCCCTTGACGCCTGCCGTCCCCCCACCTAGCTGGGACAGGCAGTTCTTTACCTGTTTTGGGGCATTACCAGCCCAAGTCCCCGTTCTGCCCCAAGAGGAACATCCCGCCCCAAGAGGAACATCCTGACCCAAGAGGAACATCCTGCCCCAAGAGGAACATCCTGCCCCAAGAGGAACATCCCCAACCCACCCACTTTGCTGGTGCCCAAGTTGCTGTGCTGAGCTTTTTCATGCCAACCAGAGCTTGGGGAGGAATTCTCTGCCCTTGGGGTCACACCAGGAATAATTCACTGTGTGGGCCATTGCCACCGCGTCCCACCACCCTCTCAGGAAGGCCCAGGGGTGGCCGGGAGGCAGGTGGTGGGGACAGACCTTTGAAGACGCACTCATTGTCTCACCCATCGCCCCTGTTCCTGATGTACATTCATACCTGCTGCTCGCTCCACGACCAGCCTTCCCAGCTGATGGGCCCCCAGGCAACTGGAGGGACTGGGAGGTGGGCAGGAGGAATGCCGAGGATGCTGTGCAGGGTAGCTGCCTCCCAGCAAAGCCAGAAAGCTCAACACCGGAGCTCCTGGGAACACATCCAGAGGAGAGGCGTGAGGCTGGCACAGCAGGCTGGCTGCTAGAGGAGTCCCTGTGCGTACGGGTTCACTTGGCCGGCTCCTGGTGGAGCCAAACCCCAGGAGCACTGCTCCCAGTCCTGAGAAGGTCATGGCCTTGCCTCCGTGGTACCTCTACAACCTGAGGAACGCAGAGCTGCCATGGCAAGGAGCACACCTCTGGCTGAGCTCCTGGCCGAGCTCCGCGCATGCCGTGAGGAACCACCTTGAAGTAGCCAGCACGTCCACACCTCAGGGTGGCACAGCCACGACGGGATTGAGTCCAGCTGGGATCCCAGCCCTGGGAGGAACATCTCTGGCCTCCCAGCACTGGGAAGATGAGTAGGAGACCAGAGAGAAAGAAAGAGGTTTGGGGTCTGTGCCTCCCTGGGGGTTGGAACCTGCTGTTGCAGCCTGAAGCCCAGTTATCGACCAGTTTTTCATCAGTAGGTGCGTGGGGAAAACCCACCCTGGAGCGCAGCTCCGGGAGGAGTACTGGGCTCTCCTGGAGTTTATGGAGACACACACAAGCTTCACAATGCGAGACAGCAGAGCAGTCAGCAGGTCCCAGCCTGTCCACAGCCCCGGGTCCCTTCCCCACCCGCCGTCTGCCTCAGAGGTGGCTCGCTCTGTTGAACATCAGCCATCTGGGCTCGGTGGTGGGCAGCATCCTGCCCTGCTCCTCCGTGGCCATCAAAGGCTGCAGCTCCTGCTGCTCAGCCCCCTCCGGGCTGCTGTCACTCTGCGACCTGCCACCCTTAGGGACGTGGCTGGGGAACTGGAAGTGGGAGCTCTGCTCCGGCGTCGCCTGGCTCGCAGACTGGGGTTGCTCCTCCAGCACAGGGCAGGCGAATCTCCTCTGCTGGGGTCCGCTCTCGATGCCCGGAGGGGAAGCGATGCTCTCCAGGGAGGAAATGCTTTGGTTCCACGCCTTCTGCATATCCACTGGCACGATTTTGGTGGTCTCCGAGGAGACGTAAACGGCCAGATCAGCCTGGTCTCCTTTCCACGGCAGCTCCTTCTCTGCCAAGGTGGGTGATGGTGGGATGATGCAGGGGCTGGGACAGACGTCCATGCTGCCTGGAGGGGCAGGAGGAGGGACAGTGAGACACAGCTCTTGCTCTCTCCCCGGGCCTTGCAAGCGCTGCAGAGCCAACAACTACCAGGTGGCCAGCTGGCCCAGGGATGCAGGAGCCACCAGGAAGCCCAGGTGCTGTCCCTCCAGAGCCACAGAGAAGAGCGATTCTCCCATTCATGCTCTGCTGACTTTGGTTTTGCCCAGGCCAAGGCAACTTTGCTCCCCGGGTGGAGGAAGGACAGGCCACCCAACGGCAGCTGCCCTGGCGTGGGAGCCCCAGTGCTTACCAGGAGTCGTCTTTCCCTGCAGGACCTCATCGGTGGCCCGAGCGATGAATACGATCCCTTCATCGTCCTCTCTCTCTGTCTCCGAGCTATCACTCTCCTCCTCCTCTGAGCTGACCATCACCAGGACAGGAGCTGCAGTTGGATGGAAGGAGTTAGTTTGCAGGATGGGACACCCAGTAGGGGAAGGACTGCACCCATGGGAGAAGGACTTGGTGCTAGTGCAACCATGGGTGCTGTCAGCAGGCAGGCAGGCACAGGGAGCTGCTCCATCCCACCCCACCAGGTCCCCTTGCCAGGACCTGCAAACCTCGCCTGCCACCGGCCTTACCTGCCTCCTGCCAGGGGACGTTTCTGTGTGTCTTCCCATTGGGTGCATCGCTGGTCAGAGAGATGTTCTTCTGCGAAGGAAAAGGGACCGGCTGGCACCTGCCTTGTGCAAACCCCTAACACCAACCCAGGTGGACCCCCAAGCCAGGGTAACCCCAGGGACACAGCTTCCCACCCCCAGCTAGAAGGCAGCTGGCAGTCAGTGGTTCCTACTCCTTAGACGTTGCATCTTCACGGCCCTACAGCAAACAGCTCAGCTGCGATGGCTTCAAGAGCCTCCAAACAAGAGAAGACACCCAAGGCTTAATTTACGACACAGTGCCAACACTTCTGAGCCTGGATCTGCACCGATGTCCAGGCTACTTTATGCTGAGTGCTCTTGGAAAACGAACGTGGGGCTCCTCCAGGGCTTGGGACCACTTTGCCCAGGGAACAGCAGCACTGACGTGGTGGGGACACGTGGATATGCAACACCCATGTGCTCAGATGCAGCAAACGCAGGACTGAGATGAGATGAGATGAACTGCTCTCCCCACTGGCTCTGGAGCTGCTGATGTCCTGCAGCACCTCAACTAACCCCCAGAGGACCTCACTGGCTGCAGCCTGAGGGAAGCCAAATCTCAGAGCTAGGAAGGGAACAGGCATTTGGGGAGCGCTTGCCTTTTTCCTGCCCTTTTCCTTCAGCCTGGCCTTGCTCTTGGAGGAGCAGACATTGTGCTTTGTGGACTTGAAGGTCTCCAGCCGCCTCTTCATGTTCTGCCGGAAGATTTCTTTATCTTGGCGCTCTTGTTTATCTGGAGAGATGAAGTGACGGCTGTAGCTGGCCTTGTACTGGCCGAGGGAGAGGCAAAGAGACACAGGGTGAGCAGCTTGGCCCCCACGGAGCATCCTCCATCCCTGCTCCTCTTGCTGGGGGGGCTGCTACCCTCGGGGTGAGCCGACCGCCACGGCCGGGGAGCGCTCACCCGCCGGCGGGGCTTGTAGAGGCTCCCTCGCAGCACGTGGTGCATGGCAGCGTCCTCCTTGTCCCGGCGGCTCCGCACCGTGTCGATCACCTGCAGGTCCAGGCAGGCGCCGCTCCCGCTCTCCCTCCTGGGGAGGAGATGATGGAGATGACAGAGATGATGGAGATGATGGAGATGACGGAGATGACGGAGATGATGGAGATGACGGAGACGACAGAGATGATGGAGATGATGGAGATGATGGAGACGACGGAGATGATGGAGATGACGGAGATGATGGAGATAATGGAGATGACAGAGATGATGGAGATGATGGAGACGATGGAGACGATGGAGATGATGGAGATGCCGGGCTCCGTGCCCGCACCCCCAGCACAACCCACCCCCGGGGAAGAGGGTGGCTTTTAGGGGGTGCAGCAAACTCTGCCCCAGGGTTTGGAGGGATGCTCATACTCACAGGAGGTTTGTGACTGATGACTCCGACATGGACGTGCGGCTGGGCATGGAGGGCAGGGCCAGCTTGGCGGCCGAGAGCACGTGGCCACCCTGGGAAGGTGGGAGGGCAAGGTTGGCATGGGGGGCAGCAGGGACCCAGCTGGACCCACAGCCTGCCCAGAGGGGACATGCCCAGAGGTAGACCACCACCCCAGGCCAGCCAGTTCCTCCCGTCGGGGCCATCCCACCACCCGTCCCCTGCCACGTGCCCCAACCTGGTCAACGAAGCTGATAGCATCACGGATGTTCAGCTTGTAGTAAACATCCCAGATCTCGTCCCGCAGCCTGTAGGCAGATTTCCGCATCAGGAGCTGGCTCAGGTACTTCTTGTCGAACTGTTCCCACCTGCCACCAGATGAAGACAAGGGCGGTTTAGCTCCCACCAGGAACCACGGCCGGGCACCCCCTGCCCACGCAAGGTTGAGAGTGTCCAAAGCATGGCGAGAGCAGGCTGGAGCTAGGAGTATGCTGCCAGGGAAGGCAGGAGGGGAGGGGACACGCTGAGCCTTCATCCCTGCCCCAGGGGAAGCTGGAGACCAGCAGGTCTGTGGGAGACGATGGGAGTGGGACTGGGACCAGCACAGCTGCCCCACTGGAGCGCTTCCCCGCCAGGAAACCGGCTCTTTCCCATCCTTTTCCTGTTGCCACGCTGCAGATAAACACTGCCCAGGCTCCAACAGGGCTGTTCCCTCCTCACCCAGCTCCATCTGTGGGGAGGCACGGGGCCATCTCCACCACCAGGGACACCCCACGGCCCCCCGGCAGCCCCAGCATGGGTGAGCGATACCAGTTCTCACAGCATCCCCAGCTGCACCTGCACAACCTCTCTCTGGGACGCTGTTGGGATGCTCCATCTGCTGCACGACAGCAGCCAGATGGCCCCCTTCCAGACGGACCCACAGACAGAAACACAGCCTTCCTGGGTCTTCCCCCCACCAGGGTACCCTGCCCCGTCCCCATGGCTGGCGCGTGTCCCCCATCCACCTGATGGCCAGCGGAGGATCCTGGCTGAGACACTCACTTGTCCCGCCAGTAATGGTAGCCATGGTGTCCCACGATGTCCTCCACCGCTGCCAGGATGTGGTCAAAGGCCTTGAGCGAGGAGAAGAGGGTGAGAGCAGTGGCAAGGCTGCAGGTGCCCTGGGGGTGCCCAGGCCCTTCATGGCCCTCACCCAGCCCCAGCGGTGTGTGGAGCTGGGCAGCCCCCCACCCCAGCACCTACGTGCTCATGCAGCTCCTCGTTCAGCGTGGGCTTGTGGTGGTCGCTGCGCTTCACCTTCAGCCACGTCACCAAGGGTTTGATGGTCAGGCCCTGGAATGGCAGGAGAAGGCAAGGGAAAGACTGGGAGGGCAAGAAGGTGCATGGTTGGGACATGGGGAGCAGAAGCAGCATGAAGTGACTGGGGACAGCAGCTGTGCTGGCCACACACACACCAACCTGTTTTCAAGCCACCTTTGGTACTCGGTGCCTCCTGGCACTGACGTACTTTAAGGAGGCATCGAGGACCAAAGGTGGCTTGAAAAGAGGTACTTGCCCCAAGCACACATCCCCAAGTGCCCATCTGACCCCCCCAGGCGAGCTCTGGGCAAGAGGAGGAGGGCACGATGCCCATCCTCACCTGCACGATGACAGTGAAGAACACCACCACGATGGTCGGCCCAAGTGCCCATCTGACCCCCCCAGGTTACTCTGGGCAAGAGGAGGAGGGCACGGTGCCCATCCTCACCTGCACAATGACAGTGAAGAACACCACCACGATGGTCGTTGCCACAAAGTAGTCCTTGGCTTTCACCTTCTCCCTGTCCAGCAGGATGACCAGGGCGAAGGCTACAGCTCCGCGGAGGCCACCGTATGACATGACCACCTGGTCGATCCTGTCCAGGGGGATGAGGCGGAAGCGGTTGAGCACGTAGGTCTGGAGGACAACGCCTAGGGAAGAAGGAGAAGGAGAGCCTGGGATGTCAACACAGCCCTGCCTGCTCCTGGGGACAGGGCAAAACCCCAGCCAGGAGCCACGTCGGGCCTCATGCCCCAGCCTTTCTTGGGGGATACCACTTTTTGGCATGAAAAGAGCTGGATCAGAAGTACAGCGGGGCAGACTGACCCACAGCTCTGAAGAGCAGGATAAAGAACAGGGTGCCCAGCACCAGTGCTGTGTCCCATGCCCACTTGGAGGTATCCACAGCCGAGATGCCCAGAAACATGAAGATGATGGTCTCTGAACTGCTGGCCAGTGTCTTCATGGTGTACTTGACCGTGGTGCGGGATTTCTGGGAGATGTTGGCTTCCACGTACTTCTTGCAGCAGATCCCACAGAAGGTGACTCTGCAGAGGGGCAGAAGGAGCTGGCATGACCCTATGGTGGGATGGGGAGCGGGTCTGCTCGCCGCCTCTTGCTGCCCAGCACTGCACCCCTGAGTTCCTGGCCGCACCCCTGGGGACACCCCAGTACTCACGCCAAGATGGAGGAGAGGGAGACCATCTCGGCAGCAAGGTAGGCGACGTAGGCCAGGAGGAAGACGAAGAGCGGCTCAATGATGCGCACACGCTTGGTGAACCGCGTGATCAGGGCCAGCAGGAAGGCGAAGAGCAGCCCCACGGCTGTGCCCCCGAGGCTCACCAGGAAGAAGGAGGCTGGTGGGGAGAAGATTCGCTTGCACCTTTGGGATTCACCAAGAGCGAGTGAGCCTGTGCCCCATGGCCACGCCGGGCTGGGCTAGCCAAACTCCATGCTCCCACTTGGGTCCCCACCAAAGCATCCCATGGTGATGGCCAGCATGTGCCTGCTCCAGATGACAGCTTGGATGGAGATGACCGAGCTGTGGTGCTCAGTGCCCACCCTGCAGTATGACAGCACCCGTGCTCACCCCCTACACTTCCAAGCCGGAGGAAGAGTTGGAAGGGCTGGTGGGGCACATACTCACCTACCCCCTTCACGTAGTCCGTGGCATGGATGTGTGCTGGGCCCAGCTCCACAAAAGAGTTGAAGACCTTGTACAGCACCTGCAGACAAGGCAAATCCCTTGGGGCAGGCAGGGTATTGTCCTGCCTTGAGAGGGGCAGCCCTTGCGGGCAGGATGGACCCTGCAGAAGAGGCATCGCCTGCCCCACATCTGCCAGATGACACAGCTCATCTCGGCAGGCAAAGTCCCCCCAGGCCAGGAGAGTGGACCCAGGAAGGATGGCATGGATCTGCCCCTGGCTTGGGGATGTCACCCGCATCCTTTACCCATCCTGGGGGACACCAGTGCCCTGGCCCACGTCAGGTTCCACTTTAGAGACCCCCCAGCTCCAACTCACCACGGTGACAGCATCGTTCAGGAGGGATTCGCCAAACACGATGATGAAGAGGGTCTCATTTACATGGACCTCTTCGAAGACGGCCAGCACTGCCACAGGGTCCACAGCTGAGATGAGGCTGCCGAAGAGCAGGAAATCCATCAGCCCAGCTTCAACACCTGGATCTGCTGGGACAGAAGGACCAAACTCAGGCAGACCCTCCGCCCCAGAGCCCAGATCACCAGGCTGAGACAAGCCTGTCCCTCATCTGCTCCCAGTGACTTGGCCGCAACATCCCAACTCGGAGTGCAGCAGGCTGAGCCCAGGAGTGTCTCCCCAGACCTCCAGGGTTCACCAGGTGAAGCACATTCTCACTGCAACATGAAGGGAGTGGGGCTTGGATGTCCCCTTTGGCATCCAGGTGCGTTGCTGCCCCTCGGGCAGGTAGGCACTGAAGGAGGCTCAGCAGCCCCACCTCAAGTCCAGGCATCAAGCAATTCCTTGGGGCTCAGGAGAGCTCAAAACATGGCCCAGGTGAGCCATGACCGGTGCCTCCAGCAGAGGACAGGGAACACAGCAGCGAGCAAGCAACGCTAGCCAAGGTCGGTGACAAAAATAGCAAAGACATGAGTCAGCCCAGTGCTGAGCCCGTTCGTCCTGCACGGTTGATGGTCCTGCCAGAGCACCATTCCCAGGATGCCAGGACCCTGCTCCTGCTACGCTTCCTGACACTCCACGGCAGGGCAGTGGGCTCTGAACCTGGGGGTGCTTTGCACCCTCCGACTCATTTTTTTGGTGATGTGGTCCAAGCTGGGCAACTCTGTGCACCCACCCATGAGCCCGGCCTGCTGCAGCCCCCAGAGCGCGGTGCCGGTGGTGAAGGAGTTCCAGAGCGTGCCCACCACCGCGTAGGTGAGGATGGCGCCGATGTTGTCGAAGAACAGCCGGCTGGGCATGAAGTAGCCTGAGTCGAGGACGATGGGGGGCAGAAGGAAGAGGAAGAACATGTTGGGCTCCAGCTGGTACTCAGCTTTCTTCGCCACGGCCAACACGATGCCCCCCAGGCCCAGCCCCAGCAGGATGAGGAGGCAGCTCTCTGGGACGATGGACGTCACCTTCCTTGACAGGTGGAAAACTAGAAGGAAAGGAAGAATGAGAGCATCAGCCGAACAAGCACATGGACAGAGCATCCCAGATCCACAAGTTCCATGGAAGGGTTGGGCTGATGCCTGGACAGACCCCAGGGACGACAAGGGAGCACCCAAGGCTGCTTGGTGGCCCTGTGCGTGCAGAAGACCTTCCAGATCTTCGGGATGTCAGGTCCTTGACTCTCTGAGATCTCCCTCTCCTCCCCAGCCGCTCTCTAATGAGGCACTTTGCTTTCCTTGGCCTCTGGTACCCACGCTTGAAGGACAACACAGCCAGCGAGAGCGTTCATCGCGCTGTCCCAAGCGCCGCCAGCTGCTGCTCACGCCAAGACCTCCCAATTCACCAGGACACGGTGCCCCGCTCGGAGAGGAGGATGCTCAGCCCTGGTGACGCTGGGGTGACCTTGTTTGCAGCCTTGTCTGGGCAGGCAGAGGGAGCAGCACGCCGAGCACTGCAGCAGCACCGGCTCAACTCCCTGCATGCAAAAGTGCGGGGAGCTGCGGGTTTAGCGATGCTTTGAATTCATCAGCTCATTCCCTGCGAGGTTTGGATGGAACAGGGTATGGTTTTATTTTATTTTTTTTTTTTTAAAAAGCAAGCAGAGTATGCCCCGGTGTTCATCCCTCAGCGACGTGGCAATGAGCCTGCAGCTCAGGCACGAGCCAGGAGGACGTTATCCCAGCCAGCACAGGCGACTCGTTCCTCCGGGCAGCCTTGTCCCCAGCTAATCCCAAATCATTCCCACTTCCAGCTGGGCAACCCCCCATCCATCCCCAGCATAAGGAGAGACCTTATTGCTCTCTACAACTCCCTGAAAGGAGGGTGTAGAGAGGTGGGGGTCGGTCTCTTCTCTCAAGTCACAGGCCACAGGATGAGAGGAAATGGCCTCAAGTTACGCCAGAGGAGGTTCAGGCTGGATATTAGGAAAAAATTTTTCACCGAAAGGGTTCTCAGCCATTGGAATGGGCTGCCCAGGGAGGTGGTTGAGGCCCCATCCCTGGAGGTGTTCAAAAGACAGGTTGATGTAGTGCTGGGAGGGATGGTTTAGTGATGATGCTTCTTGTTTGTTGTGTGGGTGTCTATTTTTGTCAGTGAGGTTGACGGTTGGACAAGATGATCTTTAAGGTCCCTTCCAACCTAGAAGATTCTGTGATTCTGATCCCTGCAGATTTCTCCTCCCTAGGGCAGGGCGCTGTATTTTAACTAACCCCCACCCGAAAGGGCAGTGCTTGGGGAAAGGCTGGGGAGGGTCCCAGCAGCTTTGGCTGCCCCATTGCTGAGTCCTGCCATGGCTTGTGACATCCCACCCAGCTCTGTAGCACGGCTTGGCCATCAGACAAAGAAACCTGCTCCTCCAGGCACTTCCAGAGCCATCTCTGTCCTCGAGCATCCCGCAGGTACAAGGGACATCAGAGCAGCCTCTGCACTGTCACTTGGCTGCAAGCCCAGCCCAGCTGCCAACCCAAAACCCCGGTCCCTTAAAGCCCTTTAGCTGGAGTGAAGGTGCCCACTGCTTGTGCCAAGTCATCCCACCAGAAGGAAAGCTGTGCTATGGCCACACGTCAACCCGTAGGTCACTTGGCTTCGTCCCTCCTTAGCATCACCCATGGACAGACCGCAGCCCGGGGTCCCATCTCAGGTGGCACAGACCTGGAGAGGAGCCCAGGAACAGGCAGTGCTTCAATACTTGGCTTCCATGTCTCTGTGCCCTTGTCATTCTCCTCTGAACCTGTCCCAGTCCTGCTCTACCCTTTCTGGAACCACTCCCAGTGTCCCTGAGACACGGACACGCTGGGCACTGAGGTCGCAGACTCATGATGCTCTTCCTTTCTTCTTTCCTAGCACCTTAGTTGACTTTCCTTCACCACCCCTGAGCACTGAACTAGAGGAGGTAACTCAATGACAAAGATCTGGTTCTTAAGCAGAGACAACACCTTTGAGCTCACCACCGAGCAGGCAGAAGGGACATTTCTTCTCTCATTGAGACCTTCACAGTGACTTGTGGTGCTCCTTGGCATGGTGAACCCTGTCCATGCCATCCTGGAGAGCCCTGGCACTGCTCCCCTGCCAGTAAGCACTGGGAACACTGCCATAGCCAGCGAGGGCAGAGTGGTGAGCACTGGGGCAGCCCGACCTGCAGCTCGATCACCAAATACCTCAAGGGGAAAGAGCTGCAGAGCACCCAGGACCAAGCCTCTGCCGTATTTCTGCAGCCAAGCACTCTGGCCACAGAGCCCAGGGCATCCACCCTCATCCCCAGCCACCTACACTCACTGCCAGGGGCTGCCATTCAGAAAATCATACAACGGTTTGGGTTGGAAAGGACCTTAAAGCCCCCCCAGTGCCACCCCCTGCCCTGGGCAGGGACACCTCCCACCACACCAGGTTGCTCCAAGCCCCCTCCAACCTGCCCTTGAACCCCTCCAGGGATGGGGCAGCCACAGCTTCTCTGGCCAACCTGGGCCAGGCTCTCACCACCCTCCCACCAAACAAGTTCTTCCCCACAGCTCAGCTCCATCTCCCCTCTTTCAGGGTCAAACCCTTCCCCCTCCTCCTAGGGCTCCCCTCCCTGATCCAGAGTCCCTCCCCAGCTTTCCTGGAGCCCCTTGAGGGACTGGAAGGGGCTCCAAGGTCTCCCCGGAGCCTTCTCTTCTCCAGGCTGAACCCCCCAACTCTCTCAGCCCCCGCTCCCAGCAGAGGGGCTCCAGCCCTCCCAGCATCTCCATGGCCATTCAGGTGGTGATCATCACCATTCAGCCCCGGAGGCGGTGGCCCTAAAGAGTCAATACAGCCCTTCAAGCAAAGTCCAGCAGAGCCTGGAGAAGGTCTGGCTGAGCTCCAGCCTGGCCAAATTCCTGCCCATGGTGATCATCACCATTCAGTCCCGGAGGCGGTGGCCCTAAAGAGTTGATACAGCCCTTCAATCAAAGTCCAGCAGAGCCTGGAGCAGCTGAGCTCCAGCCTGGCCAAATTCCTGCCCAGTGACCGCAGAGCCCTGTTCACCCCACGCCAGGCAGTGCCCGTGGGTGACCGGGCGCTCGCCCAGCTCAGCGCCTGCGGCAGGTTGCGAAATCACTGCCCGCCCACGGGAACAAGGCTCTGAAGTTCCTTCAAGAAGGGGAACAGAGGCGACCAGCCCCTTTCTGCACGCTCGGGGAGAGCGTTGCCAAGATCCCCGCTCCCCTCTCCGGCAACCCATCTGCACTCCCCGTGCTGCAGAGAGATGCCCTCAACCCACCGGAGATGCTGGGGGGACATGGGGAGGTGGCTCCTGGCTGTCACCCGTCATTCTTTTCCCCGAGCCCAAAACTTGGGCGAAGAAGGGAGGGAGCAGCATCGATGGGAACGACACTCCTTGTCCCAAAAATGCCCCTGTCAGAGGGGGGATGGTGCCACCCCCAGCAAGTGGCAGCACAGGAGCTCCTCTGCGCCGCCGGGCAGCAGCCAGCAGGGACGGGTGGAAGCAGCTCTAATTTTACATGCGCCAGTCAAGATTTTCAGCATCTCTAAAGGTTCCCACAGCAACAGTAACTTAGCCACATGTGAATTAACTTCAGAACCACGACCCACGGCTCAGGCATCCATAGCGCAGGATTTGCCAGTGGGAGGACTCGGGGCCAACACCTTCTCGGGTGCTTGGGGAAGGGCGAGACACCTAAAGCAAGCCACGAAGAGCTGGGGACAGGGGTGATGGCGCAAGGAGAGATGGTGTGAGCGCCCCGTGGGGATGCTGCTGGGCTGAAAAACATCCGTTTGCTGACAAAACCCCCACCCGCGGGGCAGAAGCAGGTTTGGGGCAACCCTCATCACTTCCCCCTTCCCCACATCGTGCTCCCACCGAGGGCAGAAAAGGGCAGCGGAGCCCGGATGGTGCCTCGCTGGGCAGGAAGGCAACACCCAAGCTGGTTTGTCCCCGCCCCGGGTGTTTTTTCAGGCTCGGGGGCACCCTGGCATCGTGACCGCCTGCGAGAACAGAGCCCGCAGTGTCACTTCCCCAGCAGCCGGGACACGGGGCCGCTTCCTCCCCTGCAGTCACAGGGCTGTGAGCTGGCAGCCCAGCGCCGCCACCGCTCCTCCGCCCCAGCCTGTGCCCACCTTCCGTGGTCCCCTCCCGTCCCCCGACACCCACCACCTCCACGGGCTCCATCTCCTCCATGGGCTCCCCTGCACCCTGGGGACCTCGCGTCCCACCTCCGGGGACACCCTCCCTGCCAGGGTGCTGCCCTACGAGTCCTCCCTCCAGCTCTGGGCTGCAAGCGTCGAGCCTGGAGGTACCCACCAGCGGGGTTGTGCCACCCAGATGGAGAGGGAGGGTGGCCATCAGCTCGCCTCAGGCCTGGAAGAGCATGGTGGGGCTGGGGAATGACCCCAGATGAAGGGAGCACCCGAAGGGAAACCCCCCCCGGGGGAGCAGCTCCGAGGAGACATTTGAGAGGGGGAAAAAAAAAAAAATAAATAAAATAAAAGCAAGCAGGGAAAGGAATCGTCTCTCTGATCTTCTGCAGGTAGGAGGTGGCACAGCTGCAGAGAGAGGGCTGGATTTTGAAGCTCACGACGCCCTTTAATTTATGCCTCGCGATGCTTTAGGCCTCCCTTGTGAGAAGGCCAAGGAACGAGAGGAACGTGAGGTCCACAGCGCTGGTTTTGGTGGTGCTCGGGACAGGCAGAGGCCAGCTGGTGGTCACAGGGCTGCTGCTGGTCCCTGGCTACTCAGGGACTCCCCTCTTTATCTCCAAACCTGCATCTCTTGAGCCGGCTCCAAACTTGGAGAGGATGCCCGTACCCCAACAAATGGGGAGCTGTGCCCACATCGGGACCCCCATCCAGGGAGGAAAACCTGCCTCAAGGTCATGGTCTCATCCCCCGAGCCCAGCGGGGACACTGCCAAAGGGGAGGGGGGGGGGGGTGTCCCCTCCCCGTCACCCCAGGGTGCTGGTGGGGGGGGCACAGCCACACGTCAGCTCACACACGTCCTCCTTGTACCATCCCCCCAACTTCTGGGGAGCAGAAGACCCCAAGGCCATGTGGATCAACCCCATGGATCCCCCTGGGGGATGGGTC